AGATCCTAGTAGTACAGGACTCTCTCTGCACCAGGGTAATATTTGCTCTACAGCAAGAGGAACCAAGCCAGAACTCTGCCTTCAAATCCTGTTTGGAACTTCAAGTAGCAGGAGAAGGCCTGTCAACCAAGCAGCTGTGTAACTAAACCAAGTTCTGCAACAGCCTCCAAGAGTTTGACTCCTCAGATATCCTTTACTGGTTTCTTGCCATGCTCTAGAAGAACACCTCTGGTGAGTATGTACATGTGAATACCATAAGGGTGGGTGAAAGGAGTGTGTACACAGACTGCAACTGGGATACCTCTGTGTTAAGTGTCACTGGACAAAATGGTGGCTTTTGATGCCGGACCATTTGGGCATTATCCCTTACCATCTCCCCTCCTAGTCCATGTGTAATAGGCTGTTACCAAATCACCTTTTCTCATGCATCAGGGAATATTAACATTACTCCAAAATACCTATCCAAAGATAACCCTTAGAGAGATAACTTTTAGAGGGATGCTTGACTGGCCTTTCCTGCTCAATTAATACTCTTAAATGTGTGCAGCCTGCAGGACCCAAAGGTCTGTAGTACCCATTGATCAGCTGAGCCTCATGTTAAGAACTTGGTCTGGTTTTATTTGAATACCAGCAAAGGGCAGAATCACATCACCAAAACCACACTTAGGGTTAATAACTGTTGTGCATATTCACTCAGGAGATACAGCCTTGTGCTGAACTTACTTGAGTGTTGCCATAACTGCTCCTGAAGAGCTCTATCCACTTTTTGACAGTGCTGATTTGTGATACACGGTTGTTTTTATACAACCTATCTGTCCACACAAATGAGATGGAACTTGATTGTTCTGTTCCAACAAACCAACCTTCCTTCATGCTCTGTCAACAGACTTTGAACAGTCAATTCTCTCCTGGAATAGGGGCCATCCACTTCACATAGGGAAAATAAGCAGTCCTAGATAATAAGAACTCTAGATGACTCTTGAGTTGTTTGCACATTAATTGAAGCCACCTGCATGTAAAATTAGTGGACTGTTTTGGGTCTCACCCTGCAGCAATATGGTCTAGCAAGTAAGTGTAGAAGACCTCTTTTTAGACTGTCTGCTTATGTTTTCTATGGAAGAGCAGCTTGATTCTCTCTCTGTTCCTCACCTAGGACAGCCTATAAATCCATAGCAGAAACATTAATGAAGAGCTATTTATTACAGCAGTGACAAGCCAGCTTCTTGTAACCTGCACTTGCTTGCATTCTTGCTTACATGTTTCTCCTGCAGTCTTTGTGACATGGCAGTCTTGGAAATGCCAAAGTCTGACCAAGAACCTTTGTGGTTTTTCATATTCTCAAAGTGATATTCCTATTATATAGTTTGTAGAACGACCCTAGTAGAAGATTGTAGATTAAACTTTGTGGCTTTAGGTTGCAAGTGTCTTAATCTTAACTGTATTCATTTCATCCTTAAGGTTAAATGGCAGATTCTCTCATTTGTCCAAAGTCAGTTCTGGTGTCACAAACATCTTGGCAATGCATACTGCAGTGGCAGACCACTGAAGGCAGATTACTCTTCAACTTTTATACAAGCTTCACAAGAAGTGAATAGATTTATGAACATAGCAAGACCTCTGAGCTGGTAGAAGCATGAAGAGAGGAATGAAAAGCTGTAACATGGCTTTCAGCTTTACTTAAATTCCTGAAGCACCATAGCAGAGTAAGGGGACACTGAAGAAACTACTATGAGAGCTCTTTAACCAAAGACCCCACACCATCTAGTAATCTTTCTTCTGCTTTGCCAGTCTCTGGTGTCCCAGAAGTTGAACCCTGCAAATTCAGATCAAAAGTGGGAGCTAAGAATGGCCTTCCCATAGGCAAGTTCCAAATAGCAGATATACAGCTCTCTTAGCTGGACCACAATTGCCCATTGCTTAATGAGACTTAGGGGCAAAACAAGGAGAGAAGCTATCTTACAGCAGCGTCTGGCTAGGTCTAGAGTGGTCGCATCTATGTTGGTTGGGGTTTTTTTGTTTTGTTTTCTTACTTATTTTAACAGTGGATTTATTTCTGCTCGGTCCCTCTTGCAGGGACTTCAAATAGAGTTACTGCCTTTATTTGAGTGTTGACTCCAGAGGAAAGGTTTGCAGAAGTCCTTTCAGGTGTTGAGTGCCATGTTGACCTTTAAAACCACAAAACAAAAACCTATTCCTCACTTGTATCAAGATTGTAAGTCAACTCTAACTTTTTGTCTTTATAACTAGTTGAACAAATGTGGTTTGTCTGAAGAAACTGTCTACTGCCTACTGATTCATTTAGCTTTCCTGGGACCTTTTCTTTCTATGCAGCTTTATCACAGCATGGTGAGGAGATTGGTGGGCAAAAGCAAGCCATATGCTGGCATGTCCCACTGCAGTTGAAGAATCCACACTGAGCAACCATTAATAATGATAACATTGAGTCTCTGCAGTGGCTTGGAAGCATGTAGAGAGTTTGCATCTAACAATATTACTTCCTTCTGTGGTGGACGTGAACAAAGGCACTGCAAGCTTAACCACCACATACAGGAGCTGAGACGTGCCTTGTTCTAGAGATAGATATTTTTGTGTTAAGACGAGGACCAGATAAAGGGACAGTATCTCTACAGTGTGTCAGGTGGCACCAAGGAACTTACCGCTCATGATTATTCCAAGTCTTCAGGCCAGGCTGCCTTCTGATCACTCATCTCCAGATCCTCTACACCATGGCAAGAAAAGAGTAGGACTGAAGTGATTACCTTCCTTACAGTGATTTGGGAAAATGTATCAAAGTCAGCCCAAACAAGACTTTTAATTGCAGTGAAATGGAGAGTTAATGGAGAAAGCAACTGTTTGTGCCCCCAGGTCTTCATACATCAGTTGTGGAAGTGGTCCTAGTTTGATCCCTTTCTTCATTGCTCACCTATATGACTTGCAGTAGATATGCAGTTATCATATCTAGGCAGTGAAAAGCAGTGCATGCTGAGGAACTGAGATAGACTCTATGATATGTAATGCATGCAGACAGTTAGCCTTCCTTGAATATGGCATTCAAGTTCAGCATGTTGTATATCATGGAAGGGTGTTTGATGATGACGTGCAAAAAGATGTAAAATAGGCTGTCCTAGAGTGTAGTATAGACATAATGGATATTTGTCTGTACTGTAATTCAGTCCAGCTGATTCAGTAAACTTAATTCTGAAACCAGCTGCAAAAAGCAAAACCGGTAGAACTTTAGCATAAACTTTTTCACTGAACTGAGTAAAGCTCCTGTGAACATATGTCACATCTGAAATCTGAAAGCTGCTACTGGAAGTCATATTTTATTCAGATTTCTATTCAGTTTTGGAGTGAGGAACACAAAGATCGAACAAGACTGATGGTAAGAGAGAACACTAGAAATGAAGTAGAATGAAGTCCTATTGCTACTAAAGGATGGACAATATGGCCCTAAGACTTAAGAGGGGTAGCGAAAAAAAACCCGAACTTCAGCATACTGATTTTGTTATTATTCTACTGTAGAAAAAAATAGGCTAAAAAAGATTATACGTGACATGTGGCCCATCAACCTGTAGTCTTAATTGAAGTAATTCTCAGTCCTCTAAATTTTAGCTAACATCTCAGATTACAAATCTGAATATATTTTTTTCTGATCAATTTTTTCCCATTTCAAATAAGAAAATTCTTGAAAAATTCTATCCTGAAATGTGTTTTTGCAGCAGATCAATGGGGCAGCTGATTAATAAGGGTTACAGGACTGAACAGTGGAGAAGTTGTATAACTGGACAATTACACATTTCTTTGTAGGAAATCAATTACTTGGGTTCTTCTTGATTGTCCAGGTTAAAGGGATAATAGAAGCAAGAAGACATTAGGACCTTTTAATGATTAATAATAGCTTTTGAGTATATTCTTGGCACTGTAAAACTAGGTGTTAGTTTCTAATTACTTTAAAGGGTGGAAAGACAAGGAAATACTTTTCTGTCTTTATCAAACTGCATCAGAGAGAACAGCACAAAAGTGTACCTTTTCTCAGTTTCACTTCATTACTCCCATTTTCTGTTATTCGTCTGTTACTTTTTCCATTTCTCTGGCTGGTGACCACAAGTTCAGTCTTTGGCAGGCATGTAAGTTCATAGATTGCCACGTTCACATGGGAGACATGGGCATATAGGAGTGTGAATATCCCTTAGTGTAAGATTTATGTGCAACTGGCTTTTGATAAACCACTTGTTTCTTTCCATTGCTCTGCGTATGTACAACATCTGACTCCTGGCATCCAAGACCTGCTGACTACCTTTGTTATTCATAGGCTTCACTTCATTTGCATAAATGAATATTTGCTCAGAATTTGTTTACCCCTTTAATAATACAAGAGGGAGGGATAAGGGTTAATGGTGCTTTCTTGCCAATACACAAAGGGTAAAAGCAGTCACTCTGGGATTCTGGAAAACAAGGTGCAGCAGGGATATTGGTGGCAAGGTGCATTTGTTGTAGATTAAAGCTTGTGTTATTCCTGTGTTCAAGGTTCTTACACTGAAAAAAACAGGTCAAAGGGTTTAAAAAATTTTGGGGATGTTACATTAAAAATGTGTTACAGGAGAAGAAAGATGCTATATAATAAATGTTCTGGGGACTGAATGTTTTGTGTTCTGCTATCTGAAAAGTGGATGTTACCTAGTGGAACAAAGCAGAGTAATGTCAGACTCTAATCTGTTCACATTGCCTCCTTAGTTATCCCAAACATCATCAATAGTCTATAAAGAACAGTAGTTGTGTTCTCAGAATGCCCATCACGTGTGCTTTATTAATGAATAATCAAGTGATTTCTTTGGGCAATGAAGAACTGAACCTACTACAGATTATTGTAGATTTTTTTTCCCCCGTAAATTAAAATATTTGAATATATATATAAGTATTTCATAGTGGATTTTTAGTGCACTTTTACATGAGTACATGTATGACCCTGTATGCTGTTTTTCTTTCATTCAATTTTCCAGCTGCCTGCCCGGTTCTGTGCAGTGGCAATGGTCAATACTCTAAAGGCACCTGCTTATGCTACAGTGGCTGGGAAGGGCCAGAAACCACCAGCCAGTGTATCGATCCCTCATGTGGAGGTCATGGTTCCTGCATCGAAGGGAACTGTGTCTGTTCTGTTGGCTATAAAGGAGAAAACTGTGAAGAAGGTAGGATATTTTCTTTCTATGTAGTGAGTTTGTTTTCTGGGTTTTGGAGTTATTTAATGGGTAGAAAAAAAGGAAAGAACAGAATAAAAATTTAAGTGTTAAACTACTGCAGCAGATTATTGTAAAAGAGGGTGAAAACGTAGTCCATCACAATTTTACTGTTCTATCGAAGTTCAGACAAAACTTCTGACCCTCTGTATAAATTGGTTTGCAGTGTTGAGAATGTCTGCTACAAGTAAACCTGAACAGTTCCTTTGTTGAAGGGTGAAGATAAGTCTTTTCTTATGAATTATGTTTATTGAACAATTTAGATGTGAAATGCAGAGGAAAAAGGAGCAGCAGTAGACAAAATACAGCTGCAGCTCCACACAAAGCAAACATATCGTCACTATTAAGACAGAGGTTGATGAAACAAATTTGAAAGACTTAGGTATCCACGTTTCTTACAGACTTAATGTAGGGCAAATTACTCCTGTTACCTGCAATCGTATAGGATTAAAGAAAGGTAGGTGGCGCACACAAATGATAACTGTCCTTTAAACGAAGAAACGCTCTTCATGTTGAAAGTGTCCGATTCCTTGTGTATGTAGAATGAGCAAATTTAACAAAATAACCCATGGAAAATGTGGTCATAGATTAAGCTCGATACTGGTTTTAGTCACAGTGTTTTGTGTTAGAATGCACAACATAAATTCGCCTGCTTTTCTTTTTAAAATATATTAGTATGGCTTTAAAAGGGAATTTAACTCCCCAGATGATTGCTAAATAGACAGTTCAGCATACCTTGGCACATCCTTGGAGCAGTAATAGTTCAAGCTACTTTATGATGACATTCCAGAGTTTATTAATCCTCCAAAAGAAGGAGCAGTTTGAGGACTAAAGTGATAGGACTGGAGCTGCATGGTTTTAGGACTAAAGAGTCTCTATGGAGTATTCTGAGTAGGATGCAGAAATTCCCACCACATATATTATTTTTTATCTTACCGTGTAGTAAACAGCTGCTTCTCCCATCAGAAAACAAAGGGAAGAAAACTACAGGGACCTAAGCCACGAAGGATTTTATTCTTTGGCCATGGACCTCAGTCATCACCTTTAGGAGAAGATCTTGAATTAGTCTGAGTGAACTTAATTTGCTAAAAGCAAAAAAAAAAAAAGCAAGGATCCTTACTAGTGGGACTGCTAACGCTGCAACGGTTTGTTCAGTTCATTCCTGTCGTCTCCTTCCAGGAAAGCTTCACAACACTGGTTGTTAAAGGTCTAATCCAGAACTCAATTGAAGTCAGTAGAGCTTTTCCATTGTTTTTAATGAGTTACATTTTAAGCTATATCCAAAAAATGCTCTAATGTCCTTTTTATCTGCTAGAATTGATATTTCTCAGTTCACTCTGAGAGTATGGTTATAGGAAATATTAAAAAATTATCTGAGATGTCTTGCTATAGCTAGCATTCTCATTGAAATCAAAGATGGAAGAGACTGTCTTTAACATGCTCTACAACATCCAGTCTTTTCCCCAGGAATGCAGAAGCTCGCTCTCTGGTACTAACTGCAATTGTTTGCTTAGTCTAATTAAGTTATATAAATTTCATCATGTTTTGTGTTGTTATATAAATGCTCATATTATTAGAGATACTATGGTAGACGGCCCCAAATGATCTTTCTTTCATTTGATTCTGTAAATTTTACCCTGTAAGCAGTTCCTTCCTAATTTTGATTGTAATTTCCAGCTACTTGCATGGAATTCCCTCTCTGCTTTCAGTTGTCTAGAATGACTGTGGTATATCTGGGCTAGACCTCTTGAATCCTCTAGCACTCCTGTAAGAAAAATAGGCTCTTGTAGTGCTTAATTCATCTTATCCTAAGGTGAATGGTTGAAATGAGTGAAACAAACACATCACCAACTCCAGAGAATTTTATAGAGCAAGCTAGTGCATATCTTTTTGCAAAGGTGTTAATGTTAACACCATTCAAAGTTGGAAACACTACAAAACATTGTCAGTCAACAAAGTTTTGGGGGAAGTGACTTACGTATATCCTTTCACCTCACATAGTTATTTAATCAACACTCTGCTTGAAGGGATCATTTTTTTTCTTAAAAAGATAAATGGATTACAAAGATGGGAGGTAGTGACTGCAGACTTGGAAAAGGCCAATAACATGACAGGAAAGGTTAAAATAACCTTTTGCATGCATCATTGGGCAATAAGTAAGTCAATAAATTAAGTTACAAAAAAAAACCCACACACACAACCATCATGTTTCTACTCTGAAATTCTGTTTCTTCTGTACATATTTCTCACATTAACTCAAGAGCTATGGGAAAAAGGGTATAACATGAAGCAGTGTCTCTCCAGTTGCAGGTAATCATCTGATCTTATTTAAAATTTTTGCATGAATTAAAATTCTACCATTCTAATGGTAGAATGATACAAATAAATATATCTGTATTTATGTATAATATATGAAATCTCCTCTATTGATTTGAGCTTCCAAAGGAATGGCGAAGATTGATTCATTCGCCATTTTCCAACTAGGATATTAAATTAGAACAAGTGGGTCAGCATTTTTTTCTTCCTGTTAGCTTTTTATTTCTGATATTCATGATGGTCATATTGTTCAAACAATTTACCTGAAATGAAAGTGGCACCAAAATCAATATTTGTGATGCACAATTTTTGCAGCATAAACACTGTTGTTCTATTAACAAATTTGCACACAAGATGAAGTGGCACATTTGTCAGGTTTCATTCAGTCTGGTTTTGGGGGAGACAAGTGAAATTGCAAAATTAGGTTAAGTTAAGGGTGGTTTTCTTGTCAGTTTTATGGTCGATTCATTTTTCAATGACATTTAACTTCATAAGTGTAATTCATGGCTCTTTGGGGGCTTTATGGTACATATTGTTCAGAAAACTCCTTGACCTCCTTTTTCGTCCTTAAGGATATAAATTGCTTTCAGTACCTTTTTTGTCAAATCTACAGAGAGCCCAATACTAAATGAGCTCTAATGATCTGAGCTGCCAAGGGGCTATGAGTTCCAAGTCTAACATACTTGCTAAGGCGCATTCTCCTTTATTTGAACACCAAAGAAGCTCCATTTATAAATCCTTATTAAATACCATTTTAAACCCTTCTAAAGACTCCAGGCCAGAAGCTTTGCAGCATAAGTCAGGGTAGTTCTGTTGCAGGTAATCACTTTATGCTAATTTTAGCAGCTGAGGATCTGGCCCAATATGATAACTTTAAGAGCATGTATTAAAATAGAACAAGATTTGAGTTCAAAGTAAAAACTCTCTTCAATTTAAACTTTGAAAGCTATTACTTACCCATATGATAGAACAAAACAGCTATAAAATATATTTGTCTAGAAAAAAGGACAAGGTTGTAAGTGTGTTATTCTGTAAAACAAGGGAGATTGGGGGTTTAGGGGTATTGATAGGCTTATTCTGTGGAAATAATTCTCAGCTGCATGACTACTGTAATTCAGGATAGAGGAAGGACAGTTAATTTATGTAGCAGAAGGTGGTGTTTTTTCATGTGCTCCACGTTGCTTTCATTCGTGCTTTCATTTGAGGTGGAAGATGATACATTTCTGACATGGAGAGTACATTAGGATGTCAATATCTCTTAAAAGTTAGCTGTCCTGCCACATACAATGTTATACACATATTACCCTTTTAAATTTTCCATTGAAATATCATCATCTAAAAAAAATAGAATAGACTAAATTTAGGGGAAAAAAGTAACCTTCATCCTAAAAGTAAATTGACCTAAATCTTTGTGTTCTTTATTTCTTTATTCAATCAGATTGTTTTATTACAGCTCCGCGTCTATCGGGTTCAACAGAAAAAAGTATGAAAGACATATTCTAAACTTTGGACAGTTTCTAATTTTGTTAAGCATCGAGAAGGAGTAACAGTGCAGGACAAGCATTCTGGGTAATTTTAAAACAATTTATGAATTTATCAATTCTTATCTGAGCTGAACCACAAAACAATCTTGATTTACCTATAAATATGAAAATGCATTATAATATTTTCATGTCCAATTAACTAAGCATTAAATCTTTTTTAAAGAAGGAAAGAAAAAACCTATAGCCAGTGTCATCATTAAAAAGAAAATCTTGTAAGAAATTTTATAGTAATTTATTCCTGTACTACTGTAATCTGAATTCAAATCAAAGCTATTCTAATAACTCATGTTGTTGCGTATCTAAATGTGCCTGCCTCAATCCTCTGTGTTGTGTCTAATCTATATACTTACTTTAAATGTTCTGCAACTACATGAAATAATTTGACAAGTCTCTATGTTTACAGAAAAGTTGAGATTTGAAAGATCAAGTATTGTTCACATAAGGTAGAGTGAAAATGTTTCTGCCTTAATTTAGAAGGATCAATTTGGAAAAGATGAGAGATAAATCACTTTCGTTATAAACTCAGATCTTCCTGGAGCTGCAAGAGAGAATGCCAATCATTCTTGGTCCTTCTGTTGCGAGTTAATATATACCAGTCATGAGATGAATTCATTTCATTTAGAACAAGAATTTGACCTTGGCCCTCAATTCCACAGCAAAAGGCGACTGGTAAAACCTCTAAGCTGGTATTTGCAGTAGAGCATAGTATACTTACACAAATTCATGATATAAGATGAAAATTTGGAAAACCATAATGTTACTGATAGAGTTTATTTGAAAGACAGCTCATAACATTCCGTTATTTATCAGGATTGAAATAACAACTGAAATTTCATTGGATGATTTTTCATCATAACTAGTTTCACGTTCTTATTTTTGTTGTTTCTGAACTGAGAAAAGATGAAATCCATATCTCTAGCTGTTTTTCTTTATTTCTTTAAGAGGAATTAATTGCTGGTTAGAATATGGGTTGAAGTAACTAAAACTCTCAGTTTCACAGCTCAGCTACTAATGGACCACGAATCAAATGTTCAGAAGTGCCTGAATAATTTAGGAGTCTAAATGAAGCTGAAAGCCACTGATATTTTGACTTCTAGGTACTTAAAGTGGATATCATAATGTTATTCTCACAATGCTCTAGCATTTCTATAGTGATAATAGCAGTATTGATGAAGATACGCCAAAGAAGAATATCCCTTAAAAAGTGCAATTTATTCAGTTTTTTAGTTTTTTTGTTTTTTGTTATTTAAATATAGTACTTGAGTCACTGGAACTTCAGTGTGTTTCAGAAGAAATGTCTCCAGGTGAAGGCTTATGTGTGGAACCCTTATTATATATATTTAAGTCTTATTTTTAAGTCTTTGTGCTTCTTCACTACAGCATTCCTG